AATCAAATTAATTAGCAATAAACAAGACAGATAAGTGGGATAAAATCAGATTCTGAAATACAGGGTGATTCAAAAAGAATGGCACAAAAATAAAGCTGTTCTTATTTGGTTTTACACCATTCTTTTTGAATCACCCTGTACATTGGATGCCACTTTAAGGTGATGCATCAAACATTTATGTATGTTGTCCATAGGATGGTTTTATATTGCTGGGGATCGAAGGACTCTGAACTCACCCACTCTCCAGACTTCAAAAATAATTTTTTAGATGGAATTAGGTGTCTGGTCACTTCTGGTTGAGTTTATTTTATTAAATCAACCAAACAGCAGTCCATAGAGGCATCTGGAGCCCAAAATTGCCCCCCCACCTCTTGATTTAGGGGAGAAACCAGGGATTTAAACCAAATTTAGAAGATTGTTCTCTGCAACACAGTTAGGTTTAGGATTAACCACAGTTCTTCTGGATCAAAGCACAGCAAGTTACCGTGATTGGCTGAAAATCAAACTGAAAGCTTCCAAAGCAGATCAATAAGTTAAATGCTTGGACCAAAAGGCTGCTGAAATCTTGACCCCGATTTAAGAAATGTCTGTCAATTTCCTGGTCCTTTGGCAGCACTGAAATCTTGACTCTGGGGTAAATTCTAAAAATATCAAACATTTGCTAAGTCTTAAGTTAGCATACAATATCTCCTTTTATTTGCTAGAGTTAAAGTCACATGTTATGGCATAAGCTTATTTTATGGATCTTTTAAAGAAGGCGGAAAATGCAGGCTACTGCAAATGTGTAGGTATAGCTTTCCTGTGACCCCCAAAAGGCCACCTCAAAACAGAAATACATTGAACACAGGTCTACAGTAACATACCTAAAGTACTACTATACAAACATTTCAGGACTATGAACAGTTGTGATCCATGAAAAATCTTGTTCCAGATTAACTGTATTTTTTCTTCAATTAACATATTTACCTTTCTAATATCAAATCCTATTTCTGACTCCTTTTACTAATACTGACTTCAAGATATTTTTATTTTATTTTAACTATATTTTATTCCAGCGCTGGGAATTGTGTAGCTCTTTAAATGTTGTTGGACTACAGCTCCCACCAGAAGTCGCCAGTACATTATACCTAGTGGTGAGAGATGCTTGAGCTGCAGTCCAAGAACATTGGGAGGCCTTCAGTTTTCAGCCTTTGCTCTGTTCTTATGTAAGGTGAGTAAAATAATACTTGTTTTATTTATGCAACTATTTTGGAGTCTCTTGTAATTTATTAAAAGTGTTTGACAAGTATGCATTGTGTGATCCAGCTACCTTGTAATTGGGGTGATGCATTTCTTTCTGAATCCACCATTTTTCCATCTTGAATAACAAAAGCACAACATACAGAGTATTTGTCCCACACCTCCCAGCTGCCTTTTTATCTTCATACACCAATTGCTTCCCTTGAGATGTGACTGAGAGTGCATCTCCACTGTAGAAATAATGCAGTTTGAGACTGCTTTAAGTGCCGAAGCTCCATGCTGTTGAATCCTGCGATCTGTAGTTTACCAGATCTTCAGCCTTTTCGGCCAAAGAGTGCTGGTGTCTCACAAAAGCAACAAATCCCAGGAGTCTGTAGGATAGAGCTATGGCAGTTAAAGTGGTGTCAAACTCCATTATTTCTATAGTGTAAATGTGCTTTGATTCTCTTTGTTTGGATTCCGATACATGATCCTGTTGCTGGTACTCTAAAGGAGATCAGATTTTTCCATCCGAAATCATTTGGTAAACATACGTGGGTCTTTCTTTTGCCATGTTGGCTTTCCAGGCTGACCCTTGAGATTTTCCTGCTTGAAGTGCAGCACCAAAGGTTGGCCTTCCCATTGCAACCAAGTCAAGGTCTTCCAGCATCCCTGAATATCCCCTTATCCTTATTTTATTTTATTTCTATGCCACTTTTGTCCCAGAAAGGGACCCAAGGTGGCTCACAAATAAAAACTCTTTAAAAACTTTATTACAATAAAACAATTAAGACATAAAAATCATATAAAATTACAAACATTAAAACCACAATAAAACCACAATGCCCACCCCATATAGCAAACCATATAGCCTTGAGTAGGAGAAGACTGGACAGTTCTAGGATTCTGAGATTCAAGGGCCACTGAGCTCAAAAAAACTTATAGATAGCACTAGGAGAGTTGCATGGGGTCAAGTACTGGATTTAGTATCTGGGCAATTTAAATGATGTAGTTGTTTGGGGAGGACAGGATGTCTATACAGTAGTTATTTACCTACACATCAATTGAGGGCAAATAGACAAGTGATATAGCTTCTTAAAGCTCTCTCTATATATGAATGAATGCAGTGTTAAGACCACAAGAACCAGAGCTTGTACGATATAGAATAACTTCATACTTCTGCAATCTAGAGAACCACATACTTTTGCTGGGGAGTACTATGGTTTGTGCCCATCTAAATATCCCAGACATTACCGGTAGATCCTATCTGATCTTGGAAGCTAAGCAGGGTTTGCTTGGCCAAACATATCCTAGTTTTCACTTGTGAAATGTTGGAGGGTCTGGGTCAAAACCCGAAACCCCAGAAAGATGCCAATAGCTGTTAAGTACCAGCTGATCTACTTTTCTATGTATATTTTGGGTTGGCGGCTTGTCAAGATGAAGTTGTTCTACAAACTGGTGTGTTTATTAATTTTTAAAAGTGTGGTCTCTGTCACTGAATATTCTTAGATGCCTTGATATTAGTGGTTTAATAAATGTGCCTTGGTTTGTTGTTGTTGTTGTGTGTCTTCAGGCCACCCTAAGTCAAACTTGAGAATCAGCATGGTGTAGTGATTTGAACGTTGGATTTGGACTCTGGAGACCACGTTCAAATCCTGGCTCAGCCATGTAAACCCACTGGGTGCTCTTGGGCAAGTTACACTCTCTCAGCCTCTGAGGATGACTGTGGCAAACCCCCTTTGAAGAAACCTCTGCTAGGAAAACCCCATGGCGCCTTAGGGTTGCCATGAAGTCAGAAACAACTTGAAGGCCCACAATAATAATAAGGCAAGCTTATCACAGGGTTTTCTTTTTGGAAGATTTGTTCAGAGGGGGTTTGCCCATGCCTCCTTCTGAGGCTGAGAGAATATGACTTGCTAAAGGCTTTCCATGGCCAAGCAGGGATTCGAACCCCGGTCTCTAGTCTCCAATGCTCAAACCACTACATCACACTGTGTCTTGGTATCAGTGCTCTAATAAATAGTTACTAGGCTTAGAATCTGAAAGAACTGGACATAAAAGTGGCCATAAACCCTGAAAAGGACAATGTTAAGTTAAAACTATACTGTTTCTTCACGCACATGTTTAAACTGCCTGCTTCCAATTGTTGGGTCCATTCTAAGGTCCAAAACACACTGCAGAAATAATCCAGTTTAAGACTGCTTTAACTGCCTTGGCTCAGTGCTAGGGAATCCTGGGAATTGTAGTTTATTGTGGCACCAGAGCTCTGACTGAGAAGGTTAAATGTCTCACAAAATTACAGTTCCTAGAATTCCCTAGTATACAGCCAGGGCAGTTAAAGCAGTCTCAATCTGGGTTATTTCTGCAGTGTGGATTGGATCTAAAATGGCAGCTACATCGGAATGGAATTGGTACAGACAAAACCTTCTAAATTGGCTTATATCTTCTGCTCAAGTGTTGTCTTCTGTCAATAGGATTTTCCTGTCCCATAGCAAGGTAAGTGTGACCATTTTACTTACAATCCTCACTCTTGCATTACCAGGCTACATCTGCACTGCAGAAATAATCCAGTTTGACACCATTTTAACTGCCATGGCTCAATGTAGTTCTGGGAACTAGTTTTGTGAGATATTTAGCCTTCTGTGCCAGAGAACTCTGGTTCAAAACAAACTACAGTTCCCATAACAATGAGCCATGGCAATTAAAGAGGTATCAAATTGGATTATTTCTGCATTGTGGATGCAGCCTCAGTGCCCATTTTCAAATCCAAAGCACACTCTCTCAGCCTTGGACTGAGGCCTTGTGTCACATCTTCCCTTTCAGTTTTCTAGTCCCCAGAATACAATGTTTAAAATTGCCATGGATGACCAGTTTCTTAGGAAACTGTAATGGATGCAACAATTTCCTCAGGTATGAGGATGGAATCGGGGTTGGCATGAAGATTTTCTTGTCTGAAGTAAAGCAACACAACACACACACCAAGATGCCCAAATCCAGGCCGAAAATCCCATGAGTATATCTATCACCCTTTCTAGGCAGTAAAAATACAAAAATATTGTATTTTAATGGATACGGTATTGTAATTAATGAGAGACAATGTGGTGTAGTGATCTGAGCACTGGACTACGATTCTGGAGACCAGGGTTTGAATCCCCGCTTGGCCATGTAAACCCATTGGGTGACCTTGGGCAAGTCACATGCTCTCAGCCTCAGGGGAAGGCAATGGCAAACCTCCTCTGAAGAAACTTACCAAGAAAACCCCATAAAAGGCTCACCTTAGGGTTGCCATAAGCCAGAAAATGACTTGCAACAACAACAACATAGCAATTAATATAAAACGGCGGTTCGACAGTGGAACACACTCCCTCGGAGAATACTGGAGTCTCCTTCCTTGGAGGCCTTTAAGCAGAGGCTGGATGGCCATTTATCGGGGATGCTTTGATTGGGAGTTCCTGCATGGTAAGGGTTTGGACTGGATGGCCCTTGTGGTCTCTTCCAACTCTATGATTCTATGAAAACTATTTTAATAAATAGGAGTGAATAAATTAACTGTATGCCACCATAAGGGTGGTGGTGACACCAGTGCTCCCCAGACATCTGCCTTTGGGCAAAAAAGGGCTGTGACATTCATTATTTGATGTTGATAATGGGCTTCGCATCAGTCTCAATCCATGGGGACCCTATGGATGAGACATCTCCAGCCCCCCCTGTCCTCTAGTGCTCTGTCCAGCTCCCGCAAATTCATATTCATGGTCTCTTTAATAAAGTCCACCATGAGGTAGTGGCTTATGTTGGACTAGACCAGGGGTAGGCAACCTTTTTGAGCCGGGGGCCGGGTTG